ATAATTCAAACAAAATCAACTCTGCGAAATATTGCATTTTCCCTTGGTAAATTCATAATTAAGTTTTTACATATAAGTAAGTAGATGTATCTCGTTCTGACGTTTCACTTGCCCTCTTCCCAAGATATTCGCTTCGAATTCAGCAATAGATGACTCCTCCAGACGATTCATTGTGTCTTTGAGAGCACCCCCTCCGACTAACCGCTCTTGAGTTACTTATAAGGAATTATAAAGAAGATGTAACCAGTCCATCCCCCAAGCCCCTCTTTTGATAAGGGGTTAGAAAGAAGGGTTTCTTTTGTTGACACCTTTAATTAGAATAGGTACCATGAAAGATCAAACTAATCCTCCCCTTTCCCACCGTCACCCACTGATCTCGAGAAGGAGTCCCGTGGGAAGGTTGTAGTTTGTACAAACCAATTAATTTCCATTGGACGTTTCATTAGGATACCATGAAGGGTAGAAGGTGTGTTTTTACTTGGCACCACAAATGATTTTTTTAGCCTGCACTATCCTAGATTTGATATCTTTCTCACTACGATTATCTGGTTTCAACAGGATGGTGCACCTGCGCACAACGTCCCAAGCGTGCGAGAATAACTATCAAACAAATTTCCTGGAAAATGAAAAATATGTTCGATAGGTATTCTCGCACGCTATTAGGGCGCTGTGTGTGAGCGCACCGTCCTGTGGAAACCGACAGTTTCCAACTTTTGTTTTTTTTTGTGTGCCGTACATCGTTAGTAAGTAATAAAAGAATCTACTCAATACAGTTTTGAGTGATCTAGTAATGCGCTGGATATTTTCATGGAATTCTTGGTTAGTGTGGAGCCTCTCGCAAAATGCGCGTTAGATCCAAGCACCCTTCTTAAAGTGAGTATATGAAAAGTAAAGCTCTGCGGCACTGCAGAGCTTGAAATGGAACGTGGATGGGTTATTGGACTCGTGGGTCATCGTTTTGAAACAGAGCAGTGGGTCAGCGGATCACTGGTTCTAACCGGAAGATTCGTTTTGACCCGCTGATCCGACAGTGTTGCAAATTGTAAACACAGACACTATGACTATTCCTTTATCTTACGGCAGAAACCAAACGTCAGAATCTAATGAGGCAAGAATTGTGACTGCCTAACTAAATTTGATAACTAATTACGACACAAGTGTTCTATTTAAAAATTAGGGAACTCTTTGTATCGCTGAATACTCACGATATGGCAATCATGATCCAACATCGAGACTTC